TGCATCCCCACTTCACATGGTTCCAAAAAAGGGAAGTCTGGAATGGAGACCTGTAGGAGATTATCGAGCATTGAACGCTCAAACAATAAAAGACAAATACCCTATTCCATGCTTAGCCGATTTTACTGCTGCATTGCACGGTACTAAAATTTTTAGTCATGTCGACCTGATTAAGGCATACCATCAAATACCAATTAACCCAGCCGACATCCACAAAACCGCCATATGCACACCATTCGGTTTATTCGAAAGTATCCGTATGCAATTCGGCTTATGCAATGCATCTGCGACTTTTCAACGTTTTATAGATGAAGTCACGCGGGATTTAGAAGGCGTTTACGCTTTTGTCGATGACTTGCTCATAGCCTCTAAAGATTCTGAGGAACATTGCAGGCATTTGAAAGCTTTATTTTCCAAACTTCAGGAATATGGACTTTGCATAAATGTTTCAAAATGCACCTTTGGTCAAACATCTATTGATTTCTTAGGTTTTCACCTTAGTGAAAACGGAATTGAACCTCTTCCTGACAAAGTCAAATGTATTTTAGATTTTCCTCAACCTACCACTCTCACTCAGCTTCGCCGATTTTTAGGCATGTTTAACTTTTATAGATGTTTCATACCTAAAGCAGCACATATTCTTTCTCCTTTAATAAAATTGTTAGAAGGCTATATTAATAAAAAGAAATCTCGTTCTCGTGTTCAGGATTCATCCCCACAATTAAATTGGAACGAGAATGCTGAACAAGCCTTTATTGCTGCCAAAAATGCCATTGCTCAGGCTACCCTTTTGAGACACCCTATTCCCGGAGCCCAGCTAAGCATCTGGGTAGATGCCTCAGACGTCGCAATCGGCGGCACACTTATGCAGTTGTCTCAACAAACATGGGAACCTATAGCATTTTTCTCTATGAAACTCAAGTAAAAGTCAACAGAAATGGTCCGCGTACGATAGGGAATTATTTTCTATTTATTCTGCAATTAAGAAATTCCGACACATGTTAGAGGGCAGAAAAATTTTATAATTTATACGGATCAAAAACCGTTAATATACGCTTTTAAACAGAACCCTCATAAATGTTCACCTCGACAATTGCGCCATTTAGATTTTATTTCTCAGTACTCTACTGATATTAGGCATGTGCAAGGTTCAAAAAACGTCGTTGCTGACGCTCTTTCAAGAATCGAAATTGATTCCATAACAAAATCTCCATTTTTGGATTTTAAAAAAATTTTCGGAAGCTCAACGGCATGATCCGGAGGTACAAGACCTTCTCAAAAACAACACATCATCTTTGAAACTGGAATTTAAACCGTGCCAATATTCTGATGGTAATATTCTTTGTGACATATCAACAGACATTCCTCGTCCATTTGTTCCGAATTCCTTTCGCAGACTCATCTTTAATCATCTGCATAATCTGTCACATCCAGGAATTGCAGCTACTACGAAGCTTATTTGTTCTCGTTATGTATGGCCCGATATGAAACGTCATATCAAAAATTGGGTGAAATCCTGTGAATCTTGCCAAAAATCGAAAATTACTAGGCATACTAAAGCACCACTGGGCACATTCTCTCTTCCTGATGCACGTTTTTCAGAAATCCATATGGATATCGTCGGACCGTTACCTCCATCAGAAGGCAATGTGTACCTTTTGACTCTAATAGATAGATTCTCCAGATGGCCTGAAGCCATTCCCATCCCGGATATGAAAACGGAAACCATTTGCAGAGCCATCTTCAACTGTTGGATATCTCGTTTTGGCTGCCCATCGATCATAACAACAGACCAAGGTTCTCAAATGAGATCCGCACTTTTTGCAGAATTCACGCGCATTTTGGGTACGAACAGAATCACAACAACAGCCTATCATCCAATGTCCAACGGCATTGTTGAACGATTTCATCGACATTTAAAATCTTCTCTCAAGGCTCACGAGACCAATAACTGGACTGAAACACTACCAGTTGTTATGCTTGGTATTCGGACAGCCGTAAAGGAAGATCTACAGTCATCTTGTGCTGAACTGGTGTACGGCACAACTCTCAAGCTGCCTAGTGATATGATAACGTCATCTAAGATATCTCCGTATGACACACAATTTATCACGAATCTTCGGCATAGAATGCAACAATTGAATCCAATAGCAACATCTGCACATTGCCAAGAAAAATGTTACGTAAGTGCTACCTTAAAGTCGTCGTGTACGCATGTATACTTACGTGTCGATCGAGTAAAGCCACCTCTGTGCCAACCATATACAGGTCCGCATAAAGTCCTTTCTAGAACGGACAAAACTTTCACAATTGATATTAACGGTCTGAAATCTACTGTGTCTATAGACCGTGTGAAACCAGCCTATTTGCTTTCGGACTCTAATTTGCCTGAACTGAAAACAAATAAAGACTTAAAGACAGTTCAGCAGAATAAATCTGCAAACGAACTCTCTAAGACACAAACTGTCACCAGATCGGGAAGACATGTTCACTTCCCTAAGAAACTTGCTTCTTACATAACAATTTAAAACATTTTTTTTAAATTCATATCTTAACATATTTCTTGTTATTTCATGTTTATTATATGTGTCAATACCTTGTTATATATTGAATTGCATTTTGATCTTTTCTAATTTTATATTCTAATTTTGTAATCATGTAAAAAAATACCCGACAGTACGGATCCTCTGAGATAATTTCATAACCTATGTCGTTCCTTTGAATAGCCATTAAAGGAACTGGGGGGAAACTCTGTGGTGATGGCGATAAGGAGCGCGCCTTGCGCCCTCCGATAAGTGTGGCAACCCTAGAGGAGAAATTTCTTACGAGTAGCGAGCAGAGCGAAACAGGCAGGCTGTCGGGGCAGTATGCGCGAAGTTCCTAAATAAAGCTTAATTTTTATTGTGCACTATGTCTTGTTAATATTTATATTAATGCAGTAAGAACATAATCTGTGATATGGAATTCGATTCGAGGATGGTGGTAAAAAATTGAGCTTGAAAAGTTCAGTGGTGAAGCTAAAGATTACCTGACTTTTGGAGTCAGTTCCAGAAAATCCACGACGACAAAAGTATCGCTGATAAAGATAAAATGCAGCATCTGTTGCAGGCTATGGAACCCAAATCGAAGGCAGAACGCCTAGTTCTTAGCTTTCCGGCGACGGCAGCTAATCATTCCAAAGCCATCGAACAACTAAGAGAGCGCTTTGGACGCGAAGATTTGCTTTGTTAACCCACCGGGCGGCTCGCATTCAAATCTATGCGAGAGACTTGTTAAGCCTGATGATGAAAATCGCTGTAACCGGAAGAGCAAAAACTGATCTATCCTCCCTGTATGATGAACTAGCCTGAAGGAAAATTACGAACGTTGGAAAGTTTGGGGAGAACCCAAGAAAAATATGGGGATTTTTTTTAACCCCCTTAAGTGGAAAGTTGCTTACCAGAAGAAGTACTGATGGCATGTGGGAAAGAAGCCAGAAATCACGACTCCATTGAAACTAAAGGGACTCATCGATCCTTGCAACATTTAATGAATTTCTTAAAACAGGAAGTTAAGGGGAAAGAGATGGTTCTCAACTCGCAAGAACTGGTTTCGCTTCCCAACAGAACCATCGGAAGAAAGACTTTAAACCACGAACAGGTAAAGCAAAATGAACCCGTAACAGCGTTCAGCTCTAGTAAGTCTTGAGAATTCAGGTAAGAGTGTTCCGAACTGTAATTTTTTTGAAAAGAAACATTTTCTGAAAAATGTTACTCCTGCAAGAAAAATGACTTTAGCTGAAAAACAACAATAATTATTGAAAAAAGGTGCTTGTTTCTCTTGTCTGAAAACAGCGAGTCACATTAGTAAATTTTGTCCTTTTGAAAGGTAAGTTAAGTTAGTTCTATTTGCAAAAGTTGTAATCATTTTGATGTAATGTGTAATCAAAAGCTAAAAAATATGATCAGATAAATGTTTCAAAGAGAGTTCTCTTTTCTACTGTGGCAGAAGCGAAACTGTATTTTTGCAAACGCTTTGCGTTCGAATTCGGTGTCAAGGTCGCGAGAAAATTATTCGCTGCATAATTGATAGCGGAAGCCAAAGTAGCTACGTTAGTGAAAATATGATGAGTCAGCTTAAAGCATCTCCACTTCGGGAGGAGGGACAGTTATACATGCACGTTTGGGGGGGACGAAAGAAACCTAGACAACATGAAATGTTTTCGGTCGAGGTCAGCAATTTAAAAGGAACATTCGCATGTAGTTTTGAGGCATTATCGGAAAAAAAAGATTTGCGGTTTTATTCCTAAGGTTAAAGATAAAGAGATTTTGAATGAATTAAAAGAAAAAGAAATCGAATTTTCTGATCCATTGCGAAGGAAATTCAAATTAACCTTTTAAATCGGAGGCAGATGTTATGGGAAAATTATTGACAGGAAATTCTATTGAATTACAGTCCGGGGTAACGGCTGTCCAAAACTGAAACTTGGGTGGACGTTATTTGGAAAACGAAATTCGGGTGAAAAGGATATATTTTGAAAAACATTTTCAATGCATGTCAGGAGAAGTTCCTTCTGAATGGAGTTATGGGAACTTCGAAAAAAGTAGGAATATGCGCTCCAATCGAAACAGTTAAAATGAAAGAAAGTTTTAATTTATCTGAATTTGAGAACAAAATGAAAATTCTTCCTGATGGAAGATATGAAGTAGAACTTCCGTGGAAATGTGATACGACACATTTAACCGATAATAAAGAATTATCCTGGAAAAGGTATCAAAAGATGATCTATAAACTCAGATGTAGTAAATTTTTCGATGATTATCAAAATGCGTTCAAGGAATGGGAAAGGTTGAATATTATTGAACGCGTACCCGAAAACGAACTGAATAATGAATGTCATTATTTGCCGCATAAGCCTGTAATTAAATTAGTAAGTGAAACCACGATAATTCGTCCTGTTTTTGACGCTTCTGCATCTGAGAAAGGGAAACTTCTCTTTGAACGAATGTTTGTATAAAGGAATGAATCTTATTGAATTAATACCTGATATTATAGATCGTTTTAAGATGTATCCGATAGGTATTAGTGCCGATATTGAAAATGCTTTCTTAATGTTATCCGTCGCATCTAAAGATAGAGATTTTCTCAGACATTTTTTCCCATGCAATGAAGGGCAATTAATTTATAGGCATTGCAGGGTTGTGTTTGGAGTTTCTTCGAGCCCCTACTTGTTGAACGCATCTATAATGCATCTATTAGAAAACTGTCCACGTCAATATAGTGAAGTTGCTCAAAGATTAAAATCGTCATTTTATGTGGATAATTGTTTATCTAGTGTTTGTAGTATTGATGAACAGTTTACTTTTATTGAACATTCCAAATTAATCATGTCAAATGGATATTTTAACTTGCGCGGTTTTGAAAGCAATGTGGCTGGTACAAATGTTGACAAACATTCAGGGGATACTTCCGTTTTGGGGGTAATTTGGAATTTAGATAATGATACGCTGAGGTGCTGCACAGACACAGATACATTGACCTGTGATACGAAAATCACAAAGAGGACAATTTTGGCAATTGTGCAGACAATTTTTGATCCTGTTGGTTTATTAACAAACTGTTGTTGCAAAAATTGTGGAAAGTGAAAATTGCATGGGATGATGAATTGTCTCCGAATGATGTAAATATATTTTTGAACTGGTTTAAAGAACTTAATGTTTTGAAAGATGTTACTTTGCGAGGCAAAGTAACATACTTGTTTACCAATGACACGTCTGAACTACATGTATTTGTGGATGCTTGAAAGGGGGCGTATGCAGCGTGCGTCTTTGTTCGATTAATATTTAATTCTGAAGTAAAAATAAATCTCGTACGGGCGAAGTCTAGAGTATCGCTCTTGAAATCTTTAAGCATTCCTCGCTTAGAATTAATGGACTGTTGTATAGGTTCTAGACTTGCAAATTCTATTATCAAGGCTCTCAGTTTGCCCGATTTAAAAGTTACTTTCTGGTCTGATTCAACCATGCCCTTTGGTGGATAACAGAGCAAGGAAAATTGGTCCGTTTTCGTCGAAAATATGTTTAAAGAGATTCGAGAGTGACGCGAGGTCATTCATGGAGACATGTCCCGGGAAACTAATATTGCCGACTTGTTATCGCGCGGATGTTTTGCGAAGCAAAATGCTTCGGGTCTAGATGGTGGGAAGGCCCTTGTGGTTGCGAGAAGGCCCTGAAAAACTGGCCCACTGGTGAGATTATTTGTTTGCTGAAGAAATAGAATTGAGAGGAAAAAGATAAAAATAGTAAATATTGATCTATCAAAAGACGCAACCCCTTGGCATCGAATCGAGTATCCAATTATGACAAAAATGATTAGAATATTTGCATGGATATTTAGATTTGGAAATAATTGTAAAGGTGGTTCTGAAAGAATAGAAACATTGAACTTCACAGTATGAATTGAAAATTCTGAGAAAAAATTTAATTCGTTTGGTTCAAAATTATTATCTGACTGATAGAAATATTATAATTTTTGAAACGCTCATTGATGATGAAGGTATTCTAAGAGTTAAAACGAGAATTCTAAATAGAGATGACCATGAATCCTTTCTGTATCCAATACTGTTACCAGAAAAATGTGATTTTCACTAAGTTATTAATCAGAAATGTGCATAATAAGAAACTGTCATGCTGGTCTTCAGATGATCAATGTATATTACGAGAAAGATTTTGGATAGTCAGAGCTAGAGAAAAGCCATTAAAATGTCCTCTTTAACTGTATCGTTTGTAAAAGATTTAAAAACTAAGGCTATGTCAAGCGAACCGACACCTCTGCCACCAGACCGAGTTACGGATGTGCGCCATTTGAAATCATAGGGATTGATTTGCCGGACCGCTGTTTTTAAAAAATGGAGGAAAGGTGTGGATCGCGCTGTTCACCTGCGCTGGTACCGTGCCATTCACCTTGAACTCGTAATTCTCTTCCTACTGATGCGTTCTCCTGGCGCTTCGACGATTTGTTCCTAGGCGCGGACGCCCTAGAATAATCTATAGTGATAACGGGACAAATTTTCGGGTGCAGCTAATGATTTTCAAAACTAAATTGGGCTAAAGTATTAAAGGAAACAGGCACTGAAAGGATAATCTGGAAATTTATTCCACCTACTGCAGCTTGGTGGTGTGGCTGGTGGGAGAGGTTGGTTCGTACAGTAAAAGAATTGCTAAAACGTACTTTAGGTAAATCAGTGGTTATCATATGAAGAAACTTTATACTATTATTTGTGATTGTGAAACTATATTAATTCTAGACCCTTAACTTATGTTTCTGAAGAACCGCAAGAATTAGTACCTCTGACACCCGCTATGTTTCTTATCGAGAACAGAAAATTCCAATGTTGAAGATCTTGATGAATTAAATTCGTCAAGTCTTAATAAGAGATTAAAGTATAGAAACTAAATTGTTAAATGATCTGAGACAACGAATTTAGAAAAGAATACCTTAGTCAAACTGGTTTCAAAAGCATAATGAAAAAACGATCTCGGATCTCGGATGATAAGAGAAAACGTTATTTTGGCCTTTAGCCCGAATTACAGAATTGATCCCTGGAGTGATGTGAGGAAAGATTCGTACGGTTAAACTTAAGACCGGCATGGAATAGTTATACGACCAATACAACGCATCTTTCCTCTGGAGATACAGTCCAATGATAGAAACATAATTCCTGATAAGAAACTGGATGCGAGGAATCTAATTCTAGTGCTGGGTGTACGTTAAAAAAAAAAAAGGGAATTGCACCTGATAAAATGGTGATGCAACAATATTCCTCCTCTGGACGACTTGTAAAAGCTCCAAAAAGACTTGATCTTTTAATAATGTTTGTTATGAGTTTGAGACTCAACCTGAGTCTCAAGGGGGGGGGAGGATGTTTGTGAAATGAACTGAAGTAATAACCGGCGCGAGGCGCTGCTGTTTGTGACGTCAGCCTGCGTGCTGAGTGTTTCGAATGTTTGCTTGTAGACGAACGAAAGCTGATCTCGGACGAGTGATACTGTTTTGATAGAAATAAAGAAGACTTATAAGAATTTTTTGTCTTTATTCATAATGCACCCAGCCTCGGGTAGAGGCAGGCCCGCAACTGAACGAAATTTTTTTGAATGTTATTTGCCTTATCAGTTTATCTGTGTTCAATCATGCATTTTCATTGTACAAAATTGCATTCATTCGAAGAATTCAATTTGCATTTCCCTCTGTATAAAACGGAATGTAGAGAAGTTGGATGTTTAAACGACCCCCCCACCCCCAGTTTGTCAAGATCCCGAGCAAGATTATCCCTTACTTTTCAGCCCCCCCCCCGTGAAAAAAGGGGATCTAAATTTACGACCTGACCGCATATATGGGTGTTTCATTTGGTTACCCAAATATTTAGTGTGGTAATAATACGAGGAATTTTAACCAGAGTAGATTGTACAAAATCGTAATTAAAATCTTTCTGCTAACGAGATTGTGGAGTTAGCAATAATAAAATATTCCTTCTAAGGAACGACTTTGCTGCTTGTTTACATAGAATATTTTCGCTGTAATGGCAACGCTAGACACTTGTCGCAAGGAACGACGAGCGTGAGTTTGTTTTTCGCAAAACTTACAGGTGTTGTGTTTTGATAACTATATAAATTGAATTACCCTTCAAATTTAATTATGATTATGAATAATGGTGAAACAGAATTTTTTTCCGCAATAAGTGAAAAGTTTTCTTCCTTTACCATTGATGTTTAGTTTATTATTTAGTCATCATAATGACTTAAAGGTAAATCGTAATTTTTGTGACTAATATTTGAAGTTCTGTATGTTATAATTAATCCTTCTGTAAAGTTTTCGGTAGAAAAATAATAATGTTGGTTTCTCTCATTTTACGAAAGGAAAGCTTTCCCATGAAGTCCTCTGTAAGCCGGAACAGTGTAAATCAACGAAACGATTACCATTAATTCACAGCAGTAAAATTTAGTGCTCTTCTGTTTTGAGGGCTGTAAAAAAATTGCAGCGAAAATGTATGTGCAAAAGCGCCAAATCTAGCAAACGCGCCTATTTAGCAGCGCGCCAAATCTAGCGTACGTGCTGTTTTCAGATTGCGTAAGTTTATATAGTTCTCTATTTCTTAAGACGCCATTGAAATACAAGTTTAATTTTTAAATCCTTTTTTTGATATCCTATGGATTTAACAATTTGGGAATTGCCCATGATGAAGAGTCGGCAATAGAATTTTGGGTAAAGTGCAGAATCACTCACTGCTTGATGGGTTTTTAAGAATTGCACATACTCAGTATCCATGTGCACATCCACCTATTTTCACTTGTTGATCTTTACAATATGGTAACTGGTAGTTTGGCGACATTTTGGAGGCGATAAAGGTTACTACCTGGGACTTTGGTAATAATGTGAGCAGTACTCAGTTCCGATTACGCATTATTTTGTGTGAGGGAAATGAGAGATCATGGGATATGTCATGTGATATTAATGGACGAATTACGGTTCTTTAATCGGAAAAGGGGGGGAAATCGGGAAAAAATCTGGAAAATTTTGTATTTGGCTTTATTCTGTGTTGTGTGAAACAGTGTTCGTGAATTTTTTTGGATCCCATGGCCGTAACTAAAGTGAATTCAAAATGGGTATTTATGTATGTATTAATTTAATGTATGTGCTCATTTATATTTTAAGTAGTGTTTTTGAATTTAATTATATTTTAATTAAATGACAGTTTATTTTGTGAATTTTATGTTTGTAGGAATTTGGTATACGTTTTAGTTGAAGTAAACGTGCATGGAAATAATTTAAATATCTGACACTAAGTATTTGTAATGGTTGCTGTATGAATTCGTTGGTGACGTGTTATAATGGAATATAGATTTAGAGGTAAAAAGTTTTTGGATATTATTATTTATATGTGGAAATGTTCATTACTTTTTCGCGATCAGGTAATTTCATATATGTTCTTTTTACCGGGTTTAAAGATTCAGAAAATTGTTATGAATTTTCGTGAAATTTTTCTAATTTATGAGAAAAAAGAAGTGTACATGGATATAGTGAAGAGTGTGCGCAATGCCATTTTTGTGCAATTCTGGGATGTTTTTTTGGTTGATCTTTACATTATGGTAACTTGGCGTTTTTTTTTTGGCGAAAATTTGGCGACCAACTCTTTTACAGCAACCCTCTATTTTTGTTTTCCTGCCGCCATTTTGTTTTCACGAAGTAAAGACATGTTTCTTTTCTTTTTATCTACTGAACACTTCTTCCAACAATCTACTAGCCGAATTACACTTATGCTAGAAATTTTATCTAACAAAACTGCTTTAATCATGACAATATTCACTGCAAAATTGGGGAAAAACTGCACAATACCAATACTCCTTACGCGTTTTTCAAAAATAACACATACACATAACCATGTACACGCCGACTTATTTTACTTAAAAAAAAATCCCAGAATTACACAAAAATGGCATTGCGCACACTCTTCACTATATCCATGTACACTGCTTTTTTCTCATAAATTAGAAAAAAATTTCACGAAAATACATGACAATTTTCTCAATCTTTAAACCCGGTAAAAAGAACATATATGAAATTACGTGATCGCGAAAAAGTTTATATCCTTTCCAAATATGAACATTTCTAATATAAAATAATAAAATATCCAAAAACTTTTACCTCTAAATCATCCAATTATATATACACGTCACCAACGAATTCATACCGCAAGCATTACAAATACTTAGTGTCAAATATTTAAATTATTTCCATGCACGTTACTTCAACTTAAACGTATACCAAATTCCTACAAACATAAAATTCACAAAATAACTATCATTTAATTAAAATATTACTAAACCATGTACACATCGACTTATTTTTACTTAAAAAAACATCCCAGAGTTGCACAAAAATGGCATTGCGCACACTCTTCACTATATCCATGTGCACTGCTTTTTTCTCATAAATTATAAAAATTTCACGAAAATACATGACAATTTTCTGAATCTTTAAACCCGGTAAAAAGAACATATATGAAATTACCTGATCGCGAAAAAGTATATACCCTTTCCAAATATGAACATTTCCCTGTATAAAATAAATAAAATATCCAAAAACTTTTACCTCTACATTATCTATTATATTACAAACGTCACTAACTAATGCATACCGCAAACATTACAAATGGTTACAAATACTTAGTGTCAAATATTTAAATTATTTCCATGCACGTTTACGCAAATTACTTTACTTCCACCTTACATTTAGAACAATGCATAAAAATAATATCCTCAAATAATTAAAAATACTAACTTACCTATTCTTCTTCAGAATCTTGATTACGTGTCCGATAAAATAAACTTTTCTTATTTCTGTTTCAGGATCTTTAAAATCATACTTATAGTTCACACCAAGGTACCAGGTAAAATAAATAACTTAATAAAACATCTTTACTTCTATCTCGCACAACCTTAAAGAAACACTTATTACTACCCCTTTCAATCCCACTAATTACCCATTTCGAATTCATTTTAGTTAGGGCCATGAGGTCCAAAATTAACGAACACTGTTTCACACAACGCAGAATAAAGCCAAATACAAAATTTCCAGATTTTTTCCCGATTTCCCCCCTTTTCCGATTAAAGAACCGTAATTCGTCCATTAATATCACATGACATATCCCATGATCTCTCATTTCCCTCACACAAAATAATGCATAATTGGAACTGAGTACTGCTCACATTATTACCAAAGTCCCAGGTAGTAACCTTTATCGCCTCCAAAATGTCGCCAAACTACCAGTTACCATATTCTAAAGATCAGCCAGAAAAGGCATCATTCATTTTAGAAAATTACGTTTGAACAACCAACGAGATGAAATTATGCTTTAGCGATAAGTTGGTAGCGAAATAGCGATGAAGGCATCCATTCAGTTATGTTTAGCAATTTTTTATATAAATTATAATAATGATTTGAAATAGTTATTTACTCTTATGCTTCCATTCAGTCATGTTTAGCCTTTTTCATATAATTTATAATCATAAAAAAGTATTATATGAAATTAACTTTTCATCTAAATTAAAACATCAATCTTAAATAGTTATTTACTACAGTTAAAAGTCGTTAATTTGGACACCCATAATTTGGAATGATCTATAATCCGGACCTCAAAACTAAAAATTTTCTGCGCATGCGCCGCGTTGATACATGCGCATGGGCGTTTACGCGTGCACGTAAGACCTTTTATGACTGCGCATATGAGTGTGCGCAAGTGCAGAATATGTTTTCGCGTGCGCGTTTTATGTATAATGGACGTATGAGCTAAAATTATCTAATTATCTATTTCAGTTAATGTTGATGATTGCGTTGTTCCTTAATTTTCGAATTGGATCCGGCTTATTATTTTTTGCAGACTGTAAGAGCATATTTATAAAAGTAAGCTAAACTTTTGATTATATCAGATAGAATTTTCGATATATATTTGTTAATATGTAAAGGATCTAAAGCGAAAGTATGTTTTGAAATCCGAAATCTGTTTATCGATTTCACGCTGCTCGGCGGGGGGAACGCCGCGGCGGGCGCATAATGAATTGGAAGTTGATCTGTCAGCACTATCCTTATCTTCAAGCGCAGATGTTTTTATTTTATTTGGCTTATAATTCCTAACTAAATGTAGTATTTCATCTCGATGCATGCTCCGTCTTTGATATGATTTAAAACAAGTTCCTCGTCATTATAATTCGCTTCCGATAGTCGAAGAAGAAAAGTAGAGAGAGGTTATTGAAAATGAAAAAATTTCGATTGACAAATTAGTCGGTGTTCTCGACACAGCAATTATAGGACTTGAACAGCAGAACTTTGTAACTGAACAAGAAATTATGTCTGTTTAATAGAATTAAAGAGAAAGTATTATCAAATGAAACGAAGCAAAACTTAAACAACTTACATTGAAAGAAATGTTTAATAAAGTAAACAAATAAATATTAAGCTTTTTCTTTATGCAAATTTTGATACCCTTTAGATCATAATTGTTCTTTATTTCATAAATTACGGTTTCATATTTTTAATTTTAGAATTTCTGCATGCCATCTTACGAGATTTAAACTGATGATCTATAATCCGAAAAAATCGATAATCCGGAATCGGCGAAGTCCCGACGAGTCCGGATTAACGACTTTTGACTGTATTATACTTCCTTTCTTGCGTTAGGGTTGCCGCAATTATTTTTGGCAGCATTGGCATCAACAATAGTTTGGCGATTTTTTACATCCCTCGAAACTGAATAGTACCTAAAATTTTAAGCGTTTCTAGACAGTTGTGTATATATATATATTTATATGAATAAATAATTGAGGCCCTAGAAAAAGAATGATATACATTTCCTGCTGATAGAAGTGATATGTATACCATCTGCAGTTGAGGACTCTAGACATGGCAGAGGACATAAGTGTAATAATGATAATGTATTAAGCAGTTTACTGAAGATTTGGTAGTGGGAAATGTAGGGACTGTGGTGTTGGTGGGAAGTGATGAAGATCTGTTACCTTTGATTGTATCCATCAGTGCCTACAGGGTTTCTGTACCTGCCTTTATAGTGTCAAAATTCGAGGGCTATGTTTAGCCTGATGTAAAAGAAAAGACGTATGTTTGATTGCTTAGCTTAATACAATTTTATTAATCCTACACTTAATAAAATTGTGTAATAAATATTAAATAATAATATTAATTAAAATATTCTCTATAATATCCTAAACCTTCATGCTGTATCATATTCAAAGT